TAGTAGTTTAGTTTTACGTTAACTAACTTAACTTAGTTAAGTTTTAACTTAAATTACGTACCGTACTATAGTTGTGTAGATATACTTACTAACTTAAATTATATATATATATATATATATATATATATATATATATACACACATACATATATTTCATGGTTATTGTTTGTTATACGGTGGTTACAAAGTCGGTCATTTTGACCGACTCTTTATCAACAAGATTAAAGGCATAAGGTCTTCCTGACTTTATTTGTGAAGGCCTGATCTAACTTGAATGTTAGTTTCAGATTTAAAAGCCAGCCCAAACACTCAGGAGCCAGGTCTGATATAGAAAACTTATGGAATATATTTTGAGTTGGTTGTGTGGTTATGGTATGAGACATACAGTTTTACACTAAAAACCAAAGGGTTCATTATTAAACTTTATTATATAACATATATTAAACTTCAATACGTGCAATTATTAAAATAGTACACTAAATAACTATAACTTAGGTGGATTCTTGCAATGAATGAAAGTAAAATAAAAATAATCACTGCAACATTGATAGGCCAAGCAGGTTGTTCCAGAAAAGGTCTAATATAATCACCACTACAACACTGTACAATGATAAGCAAAGGATTTTTTTTTTTTTATGGTGTTCCTAACCTAACTTCACTACTGTTTGTACTAGGAAATGGAGGCTATGTTTATTTACTTTAACAGCAACAAGTGCATGATAACAATCACATGATATCAACAACCACTTGATAGTATTGCCAGAACTAACTGCTTTTGGTCCCACCCAAGTTTAAACATGCACACTGATTGATTGAATTGAAAGAAAGAAGAAAAACAAAATGGTGCAAAATTAGTAACATGTTGTGCAACCACAGTGCTTCATTCCTGAAAAAAAACATGAAGTGCTGAATTCACCATTAAAATCCTAGAAACAGTTTGATTTCAGACTCAAAGAATGCGAAAATAGTTCTGGACTTCCAGGAGTCCCGAATTATTCTAGAATTGAGATCTATTTAGTACATCCCTATGTACGAATAAATTTTAGTCGGCATGGGGATCTGGCACCCAGGATTTGTTGAGACCTGGCTTAGATACAACAACAAAAATCACTAACACCTTTAGTATATTTTCAACTTACTCTTTAAAACTGACTTAAGGTTTCTATGTTCTGCAACATGGTAATTTGTATTTTTATTCTTCATGACGGTTTAAAAGTTAGTAATATTTGTTTACATGTATTGCAAGCATGAACAATAGTTGTGTTCAAGAATTAGCACTGTCAAGTTGAGCACAAATATTCACATATTTTGCAAGATACATGGAATTAAGCTTATCAACAGAGTTAGTAATAATGAATGGATTAAACAAATAGATAATCTACTGTACCAGAACATTAGAATCTTCACAATTATGACAGTATCAATTTTGGATATGGAAAGAAATTAGAGCCAATTGAACTGCACAAACACCCTAGGAAAACCCTTAAGAAATGACACTTCCCCCACAATGAAGATGGTACAAAGGTCTAAACAGAACAGAAATTCCAGTTTTAGGAATTGGTAAATTAATACCATTGGTGACATCCTGTGATAGACCTTATCCACAATAAAAGAGCAAAAAATAATGGTCCTTAAGAGGAACATCACAAATGATAAAAATGAAGTTTTCCTGTTGATGTAATATCCAGCCACAACAATGGAAACTGTCCAAGTGAGGAAGGGACAGTGAAACATTTCCACACATGAATCACAACTACAGAATGAAAGTGAACACTGCAGGTACATGTAACACTGATGGTTAAGACTTGTGCAAACATGACATTAATCAGGATATTAAATTTCAGTTTTAAATTTGATTTGATGGTAGCTGCTAAATGGCCTTTCAAATGTGAAATAATGTTAGTACAATTACAACTTGAATACTTATAGGATAAAGTACTTCTTAAATTCAGCCTGAGTGTAACTGCTCTAACAGACAATTTGGCCCAAGTTCAGTAGAAGAATGATGCTAGCATGTAACGGGCTAAGTATGGTCCTAAAGATAGATGGGAGCTATTCTGATGTGAATTTTTTTTAATACATACAAGTACCTTAGTGAAATAAAAAGACCAACAACAGTTAACATTTTCCTTACCTGAAAATGTACTTCAGATAAATGTTCACATCTTTGCATCACAAGGAGTTATTACCTCTTGCCCACTGTCGTGTAATTTTTTGTGCATGTCACAAGGCTTGAACAAAGCTCCCAACCCTACATGTATAAATATGTATTGTACCAGGCTATTAAGTAATCATTAGACTATGCTTTCATCAAAAAAATGGGTGACACACCCTCCATTCACAGTAATCCCCATAAGCTATAGACTAGAATTTGAACAAAGACGAGGCAAACAAAATACACTGGAAGTAGTGAGGAAGAGGTGGGGCAGAGAGATGATATCTCTTCGAAATACATTTTCAGGTAAGGAAAATGTTAACTTCAGAAATATTACTCACCTACCTGCACCACAAGGAACTAGAATTCCAAACTGAAGAAGGTGGAGTGGCCAGTGCAAAGAAAAAAAAAAAAGATGAGCTTTCTGAAAGCAGTGTCAGAAAGGAAAAGCCTATGGGGTGTGATACCCACAATGTTGGGGATAATAGTCTAGTGGGGTAGCATTTGGTGGAAGACTGCAACCCTCTCAAGCAGGGAGTTCTTTTTGCCCAACGTGATTGTGGTATTTTCTGTCAGGAGATGATATAGAGCAAAAGAAAGCATCACAAGAATCTTTTGCATGGTACTAACTGTCACTATGGTTGGTGAATGTAAGATTGCTCAACAGCCATTATCTCCCATGTGGCCAGTTGAACAATACTGTAGTCTGGCTAGGGCTAAAAATGAGGCTGTTTCATATTGGGGAAATACTTATAGACACACCACAATCAGATGCAGAGAGTAGCATCCCAGACCTGTGTCCTGAAGCAAGCCCAAGACCCATCCAACTGGACCTAATCCCCAGGAATGGCTTGGTTCAAAATGTAGTGAGCGTCCTGTACAACATTATCAGATAACAGCCCAGCCCTACTTCCCAAACAATGGGTGTGTCCAGTCACTTTTGTACTAGCCTAAACAGTCTTGCAGAAAAATCCCAACTCAGTTGGAACTGAGCAGGGGTAAATGGGCTTAATACATTTCGTACTTCCCATCCCGCTTGAAATGGATTTGGGTTATGTATTTCTAGTCAGGAACTATGGCAACAAGGTGGTTACATACAGCAAGATCTAAGAATGACAATGTGTAAGCAAGAGAGAAAGTGAAGAACAAATAGCAATACTCACCTCATGAGGGCCTCTAGGTAGACTGGAAGTAGGCAAAAGTCAGAAGCACAAGAAACCACCTGTAATGTACATAATGAGATACAAGTGTATTAGGTGTAGTCCACATTCTGGCCTGTAGGATTTCATCTGGGGAACAATGTTGATAAGAAGCAAAAGAACCGATAAGATGACAAACATGATGGGAGGTGACATGGTAAGACATACGGGCATACTAACCCAAGTAACAATACACCATACAGATGAGTTAACACACTCACCCAATTAAAGACAAAGGTGACATATCACGAGAAGAGGAGGTATCCCATAGCAAGAACATGTGATGGTGGTTTCCACAGTGGGGAGAAGTTTGAACTAGACACAAAAAATAATCAGAGTCAGAATGATTGTATAAAGAAGAAATGGAAGGGAGAGTGATCAGAAAAAAAAACAGATTACCCTTCCAGGCAGCCCAAGTCTTTGGGAGAAAGGAGAGGGATTGAAATAGAATCAGCTGATCCTTGTGTTAAAGTGTGTGCAAAGTGTTTAATGCATAAATGTTCAAAAGATGTCTCCTGCAAGAAAGTAGATGAAAACACATCTTCTGGAACAGATGATAAATGTAAAGGATATTGTGATCCTAGCAATGGAAGCTGTTCTAATGTGACTTTTGTATACACACAAATGTTTCGATGAAACAAAAGAGCCAACAACAGTTAACATTCATCTGGAAAGAGGGAAGGGAAGAATCAGGAATAGGTGAATGCTACTGTTTCCAAGAAATTTATTACACCCAAGAAGTTGCAGGAATGATCTCATTCTCATAAGGTGAAAATAGAGATCTCCAACTCTGGACTTCACGAATATCTTGTTAGGATACAAAGTGATCCCAAGATAGAAGGTGTGAAACTTTAAGATGTAGAAGGAAATCCAAAGATTTAGATAACAGAAACATAAGATATGAGAAAATTGAGAGAAGCTTTCCAATAAAATGAACCTTAAGAAGCTGAGGAAAAAAACACAAAGACAATTGTACATTTCATATATATATATATATATATATATATATATATATACTTCATTTATTAACAACCATGATTTCGCCAGTAAAGGTATCATCAGGTACAGACTGAAATGGTTTGTTAACAGGTTTATATGGAAGTTAACCTTAACATGTACCTTGAGACATGTGGGGTGAAAAGTGAGGAGGAGCTTAAGTTGGTTTAATTGTTTAGAACATTTTCTGGATTTGTTTATAGGTTTCTATTTATTTCTAAAATTTCCAGACTATTTAGTTTTTACCTTTATTCACACATATGTAAAAAATAGCAGTTTTTTCTGGACCAAATTGGTGTTTAGTTTCAATCCATTTTCCTTAATTTCCAGCTTCTAGAATGTTCTTTAATTATTGTTTCTATGTGCATCCTGTTTGACCTATGTATACACTATTGCAGTATTGACACATTAATTGGTAAACACCACTGTTGCTGTACTACTGCTGACAAAAATTCAATGATATATTTTTAAGCTTTTTACTAAAGAGAATTAATTAACATTATTTATGTTATCTAACATTCCATACAGTTATTCTTTTAATTTTTTCTTACCAAACCACACTTCATGCTCTTACTCCTTAATGAAATATGTAAAAATAAATTAAAATTATTCTATTGCCTTCAGGATATTATGCTTACACATCTCTATAAAAAGAAACTTTCAGTTTCATAAACACTGTATGTAAATTCAGTAAAAACACTTCAGTTTGAACACTGAAGGGTGTAGGTAAACTTACATTATCTGTATACCCTTGGGGACTCTTATGAAAGTCTTGGTCTATACCACCTCCAATTTTAAAACCACATTTCATAACTGGTCTGCCTTCAGCATCCACACTAGCTTCTTTAGCTAGTTTAATTGGAATCTGAAAAGTGCATACTCTTTAATTATTCACAATGTTCACTGGAACATTTTACTAACAGTGGAACTATATGTAGACCAAATGTTTTTCAGACTGAAATTTCTTTATTTTATATATTGCTAGTGAAACTTCTCTAGAAACAATCAACATGATCAATCTTGCACTGAATTAAAAGATGTCTGTGCAAAGTTTAGAAAAATGAACTTTTCTTCTAAATTTTGCTATTTGGCCCAATAACATCAGAGGACACATTTCATCCTTCAAAATAACCAACCAAATCATTAAAATCCAATGAAATGTATTTTTTGAAAATAACATACCTATTTCATATTTAGTAAATGTTAAAATCATTTAAACTAATAACACAAGAATAAGGTCTATGTGTCAAAGTTCAAACTTATTTGCTCAAATATTTTACTTTGCATTTTCAATCTTTCCACCTTTCCTACAAGCCTCCTGTAAAACCACCTTTGAGAATAAACAAATCCTAGTCTTTATGTATTAAGCTTGTTTACTCAGTATCATTCTACTAGCCTTCTGTGTTCTTTCCAGCATGTGCATCATTCCTGATCAAAACTGTACATAGTACTCCTAACAATGCCCCACACAGCTAAAGGTCATGGTAACTTTATTTTTCATTAACTAAAAATTCAGAATTATCATTTGAAGAAACTACAATAAATGCTTGAAAATGTTTTTCCTTATTTCATTCAAAGTTTTGTTTTACAAGCTCTTCAGAGGTAACATTCTATTTATTGAACAAAACATTGAGCAAAATTTAAAAAATACAAAGGTAATCTGGTGGTCATTTAATTATAATATATCTAAGATGTTCCAATCAGCATTCATAGTGTTAGTTTAATCCAACCTTCTTCACAGACAAACATCAAAATCTCGGTCATTAGTCAGTAATTGTACCAATATCATGCATATCCTTTCCTTACTCAACAACATAAAATCTAAGGGCAACAAGGGACCTATTTGGTCCATCTAGGCTGTTCCATCAACTATATATATATATCATGAAAGCCAACTATTATCATTCAAATACATATCAAGCCTTCCCTTAAATTTATTGCATCTACTACATCTGAAGACAACCTATTCCACATGACAACCAGCCTGTTAGAAAAATAAAATGATCTTGGCTAAAGATGACTCCTACCCTGTCAATATTTATGTCTCCCTCATTCCCTCTATTATGCATGAAAAAGATGATGTATCAACACTATCAACTCCCTTAACAATATCAAACATCTCAATCAGATCCCCTCTAATTCTTCTTTTTTTCAAGAGAAAACAATTTCAGAGATCTTAACCTGTCAACATGTGACAACCTTTCCATTCCTGGTATCATTTTAGTTGCCTTCATATGAACCATTTCTAACAATTCAATGTCCTTCCTAAGATAAGAAGCCAAAGACTGAACACAGTACTACACATGTGCCCTAAGTTAATTTACTTTTAAAAGCCTTTTATGTGGCACCTTGTCAAATGCTTTCAGAAAAGCCAGGTACAGCAAACCAACTCCATTACTTAAGCAGTTAGAATGTCAAAACATTATTAAATCAAGATTTTTCCCATGTGAAACAATGTTGACAATCCAACAAAATTTTAAACTTTGTTAAATGAAGTTACAAATCATCTTTTATCAGACTTTTCCCACCATTGATGTAATACTAATAGGCCTATAATTACCAGGACAATTTTTATTACCTTCCTTAAAAAGAGAATAGTGTTAGCCAACTTCCAATCCTCTGGCACCCGCCATCTATCCCACTATTCAAGGATTTACAAAAAAACAAATAAAAAATAAGAGCAAGTGGCTGATACATTCCATCCTTAACCTCCTTCAGAACCCTAAGAGAAATGTTATCTGGCACAGGAGCTTTCTCATTCTTTAAATTTCCCAATTGTTTCTTAACAAGTTCAAAATTAGTGTTTGTTCAATCTTGTTTCCATCAAGCAACTGTTCAGGATAAGGAATATTGCTTGAATCTTCATTAGTAAAGAACTGAAGTAAAATCTAGTAACCCAACCATCTCATAATGATCAGATACGAGCTTTCTTTAGCATTCCTCACAGACTCTATCCCCATCCTAACATTCTGATTATTCTTAACATATTCAAATAAATCCTTACTATTAATTTTTATACTTTCAGCCAACCATTTTTTCATATAACCTTTTTGAGTTCCTATGTCCTGTTTCACCAACTCTATTGATCTTCCATAATCCTTTAAGGCTCCCGTCATAGCAGTCTATTACAGCTTCTTAAATCTATAATGCTTTTATTAAATTTTTATCCCTTTCACTCTTTTTTAAGCCAACGTGGTTTTTACTTACAGCTACTATTTTATTTCTATAAGAAAAATGTCTATCTTGAACAATTTATCTTTACAAATAATCAACATTTAATTAGTTTCTCCAATTCATTCAGTTATCCAATTTACAACAGCTAATTCTGATCTCATCCATTCAAAGTTTGCTTTTTTGAAATTTTTTATCATAATTTCCTCATTCTGTATGCAGTAAAACATTGAATCTAATTGATCCATAATCACCTTCACTCAGATGTCCCACAGTCTCCACCCATTTCTGTATTAGAAGTTAATAATACATCTAAAATAGCATTGTTCCTTGTAAGTTCCCCGACCAATTAGTGAAGAAAACCAACAGGAATGGTTTCTAAAAATCTGCCCCTCTCATGTTTTGACTAGCATTTCCCAATCTATATGTCCGAGATAAAAATCCTCTATAATTATGACGTCATTAACAGCTGAAATCTTAATCTCACTATAAAGTTTCTCATTAATTTGATTAGTTTCATCTGGTGGTCTGTAACAAATTCCCACTAAAAGCCTTCTCCCCCCAAGTCCACTAACACAAATCCAAATATATTCAATCTCTTTGTTATTATCTTTGATATCCTCAACTTGAATGGTATGTTACTCACATTTTACATATAAAACGACTCCTCCTCTTTTTAGGTACTCAATATCTAGTATATAACCTATAACTCTATATTTCAAAGAAATCTCAGTCATCAAAACTATCTATATTTAACAAACTCTCAATTAATTCCATTAAAACATAAAATCTTCATTCCTATCAGTGCTCTAAAGTCTTCTATTTCAAATACTTCTAGCATTACAACAGTAACAATTTTGCCTACCCTTAAAATGTGTACTTTGTTCCTAACACTACACTTTTCTTTAGATATTTTTTCTGCATTTAGTTTATCCTGGTCCTATTAAACAAGCCTATTTAAATGTACACCACACAATAAGCACAACTCTCCAAAGTTCCTTGCACTTCTTTAATCACTTTCCATTTAAAAATAATTTTTCATGTTCGTGCCAGCTCATTAACACTGCCTAGGTTCTACTGTATGAACCAAGTTTTATTAGGATATCAAACATGTCCAACATGATTTTTTGATAATTCTAAAGATATATATGTGTGTGTGATGTGTGGAAAGAATACCTTAACAGTTAATTGTAGGTGCAACAACTGGAAGGTGTTCTCCTCAACATTTTTAGGTATTCTTTATGTACCCCTAAAAATTCAGGCACCTATGTTGAAATTTATAGCTTTTGAGCTGCATAATCTAGTTATCTAGCTCTTTTTTATATGTAGCTGATAAAGTTTTTTTCCCAATTCTTTGTGTAGGTTTGCATAATGTGCACACACTATGTATGTGACACCTCAAAGAGTAACACACACTCCATGTCTTACAGTTAATTCAAGCCATACATAGTTTTAGCACACAGGGCTAAAACTTCTATGTCCACCCCAAAATTTTAACCATTGTTGCACCAATGCTAAAATATGCTCATGTTTGTAGAAAATATGACCTACTGCAAAAACAATGTAATCACATTGATAATAAAAAGTTGAAAAAACAAGTACAAGCAAGGTGAAAGGAGAAAACAATGACAATAAAGTTAATGTCTTTACCCATTAAAACCAAATAACTAAAGCATCACAAGCAAACTAAATGTTGCTTTACATCTCTCTATATTTATACCACAAAAGTTTAAAATAGCCTACACTAAAAACACATTATCTAACATACAATTCACCAATTTTATAACTGACAAAGAAATAACTTCACTTATAAATGTAGTAACTAAGTATCATTAGAAATATTTCAAAGAGTCATATAAACCATTATCATAAAAAGTTGAAAACAGTAGGCAAATGCCTAGATTAAAAGGGAAACTAGTTAAATTTGTGGGACAGGATTAAAGGAAGTATCACTTACCATGGGCATCTGCAGAAACTTTTCTGGGAGGGGCAAGCTATCAGTTTTAAAAGCAGTGTGAAATTGTGATTTGAATAAAAAAATGCATATACATATGCTGAATGAATGAAGAAAGAATTATGTTTCTCATTTTCCAGGTGGGGGAAGTGCACCCTCCTGCTGATGCCCATGTCACTTACTTGTGATGAACACTTTAAAGTAGCATTTGATAAAGCTGGTAGAGGTATAAGAAGCTCTTTTATTTTGAAAAAACATATGTATGTTAAAATTTTAAATATTTTTGACAGAAAAGTAGATTATAACAAAGTTATTTTTTTATACAAATAATTTAAGTCTTTATAATTGGATGCTTTGATTTATTTTAAACTGTTGGATGTTAGTTACATTATAGTCTTAGTCAAATAAGGATTATGAAGATATTACTAGAAAATATTTCCAAAAGTAAAATCATAAGAAGGCAAGAAGTGATTTTTTTTTAAAAGAACTGAGGTGAAAGCTTATAAGAGAAGTGATATATCAGAAATTGGCAAAATGTGAAGTGTGCCAAGTTTCCAAAAATAATAATAATAAAAAAAGAGAAATACGATGCTTGCTTATTGGCATTTTCTACAGGCCATTTGATCAGGTCACCAAGATTGATAATAACTTGTAGAGGCAAATTAGACATGCTGTAAATAAAAACAAGCTTATAATGTTAAACTGAAACATTTCCTGAGAATTATATTCTCTTTCAGCGTGTCAAGAGTTTTACTACATAAGAAGTTTGGATTCTAATTTTGAAGCTGAGGATTATAAGATTAGAAATGTTCTGTCAGAGCACTGTGATACTAGCAACCATTAGATTTTTAAACATGATGGTTTTATTGAATCTTACAATAGAGTAGGAGTCATGCCTTTTGTTTATTTAGAAAACTGACTATCAAGATCTATAGTAAGGTGTGAAAAAGTTACTGGTGGACTAATCTGTTTGTGAAAAATGTATTGAAGCACTTGGGAACTACAGATTAATTCAATCAAACTTGCTAAAAATGAATTAACTATATCCAAATTCTTGCATTCTAACTACAAGTCCATTCTTAAATAGATGAACACTATTTAGAAGATAATAATAAGGTTTAACAAAATAAAAAATGCAAAAACTATTTCTGAAGTTAAACCAATTATAAAACTCTCTTACATTTAGCTGAAAACATCAAATTTGACTTGTAATAAGAAAAGAAAGTATAATACACTGTACATTTAAGAAAAATGCCTAAACATTGTTTACAATCAAACTATTTTACTGGTATTTTTTACTCATGGCAGAGAAGAAGAAAAAGTAATCAAAAATTGGTGGGGAGACTTTTTAATTTCTACTTCTGTTGAGGGAAGAAGTTTTAGAAAAGCTTGAGGAACTTCTAAAAGAGTAAAATTTCTACTCTAGACCGATCAGGTTTATTCCCAAACTTAGTGAGAGGTTTTAGGACAGTGATTATTATTTTAACAATATTTTTGACATTGGAAAATTTATGATTCACTGATTGTTGGAAGATCAACAATGTCAATGATCCAATAACAATGGTAGATAAAGTAATGGCTAATGCCAATGTTCGTAACACCCAATTTGTATTTTTTTTTTTTACTAAACATTTGTCAGTTTATTTACCCTTTTTACCATTAGCAACATAAAAATATTTTATAGAAGTCTGCAAAATAAAACAAAAGTTTCTTACGCTTAAACACTCTATAGCTACTCCAGGCTGATGCTGGAATGCCATTGTCAAATAAATACAGTTGCAAGTTTACTACTAAATACACGGAAACTAACTTCCCCTTGCATCAAAATTAAATAAAAATAAAAATAACGAATCCTCACTAGAGTGGATGGTCAGATTTCACTAGAGCGCCATCTTTATACTATTTTGTTCTAAAAATTAAACAATATATTAAAAATAATTTGCCAATCTTAAAATATTTTGTATATACGTATAGGCAAGTGAATATGTTTAAAAAACTACTACAAAAAAGATTCAAATACATATTTACAAAAAATACAAAATATTATTTCGAATAAATTAATGTACAAGCGTAAAAAACAATTCGAACCTGATGATAGAGATACATCAACGAAATTATCTGAGCAATCTTGATTTTGTTAGTTCAATTTTTTTTGTTAACTATGTTAAATATGTTTGTTATATATGAATTTACAAAGTACTAAAATTCAGAACTAATTTTCGAAACGATGATTACATTTTGGTTTCAATAGTTTCGTATCAGCAAAATTAACTTAGAATACTGATTAAATTATGATTAAACGCTTATTTAATATATTCTACCTATTTTTGCAGGCAGATCAATTGGTAAGCTTTTTAGCCTGGCATTTAAAAAAAGCATGAAAGTAAGAAAAACTTTAAAATAGTTTTATTTTTATTGAGAGATCTTTCTTCCTTTGTACTGAATTTCAATAAAGTCAGTAAAGGTTTCTGGACCTTATTTTTAATCTATATTTACTACTGATAGATGGCTCTACTTTGCCTCTCTCCACGGAATTTATGATAGTAATTTCTTCATTAACGCCTAAACTTTTCTAGCCGCGACATAGTGGCTCATAGGATGGCTCCGAGTTCTTAACTACAAACTTTTAGCTCATAGCTTCGTCATCTCTTGACCGACTTGAGATCTAATTATAGTTTTGGACTCAGGAGGTCAAACCCTCTGATTGATGTACTTGATCATGCCCATATATTAATGTATCTAATCTTGTATAAAATAACTTCAATTTGTGGGTAGGTTTGTAAAGATCCTGATGAATAATAAAATCGAATCGGGTATAAGCGCGCCTCATGCTTGGTATTGCTGGCATAAAAATATAGCTAGCCAAAAGGAAAAAAAAAGGTCTTTTATATTAATTTACTCTAATCCCGCTTAAAAGAATTTCAAGTGTCGCGGCTATTGACAGTTCCCTCTTGTTTCTCGTCTAGCGGTCTGATTCACGTTGTCTAATGAGCATTGTAAGCATAGCTGAGTTTGCGTAAATGATTCTTTTTTCCGGCTGGATATTTATGAAATGGAGGAACACGTTATTAAGGAGAAAAATTATTGAAAAAGAATTATCAAACACTTCTCCAAGTTCATTATATACTCCATTTAACACAGTATGAACAATTTCCAAACATAATGATGGCGCCTCACTCGTTGTTGTTTTGTTTTTGTCCTCGCCAAATCCACTGACAGTTTATGGCAACATCTATGTTTCTAGTTTGATAAATTTTATAGAACAACTAGACCACCGTGACCCTTTGGGTCACCCACTATTCAGAGGTTATGAATAATTCAAGCTAATTTCAATATTGCACCGAAATGAAGGTTTACTTTTAGATAATTTAATTAAATATTTCAATCCATTCGTATTATTCATAATTCAAGAAAATATATTTGATTGTTGATCGGAAATAAGAGGAAAGACCATTTCATTTTTCAAAAAAGTGAAGTAAGAAGTTTCGTAAAGAGAGCGAACGTTAGTGTAATGTAAAATTACTCATGCTAGAAATTTTCATAAAAGTGACCCGAAATTATTTCTTATCACACGGTCTCTAATACACACCATAGTAGCGATTGTATAATGGCATTATTTATTATCATAGTATCAGTTAGTAATTGCATTATTTCTTATCACACGGTCTCTAATATACACCATAGTAACAGTTGAGCCCGTTGGGTCACCCACTATTCAGAG